TAATTTCATGAAATAAAACCACATTTTTCATACAAAAGAATTTCAAAACGGGTCAAATTTGACCCAAAGACAACACAAGGGTTAAATAAGAAACAGCATCAAATTAAAATAAACCAATAATGGCTGCTGATCTGGTAAATGAGGTTGTGCCTGTACAGCATCTGAGGTATTCAGCCACACCAGGTTAAACAGTTAATTATCTTTCAGAGACCTATGTGACTCCTGAATGTAGCCTCATGTATTAGCATGAGGCTACATTCAGGAGTCACAGAGGAGAGCGACCCCAAACATGTGCCTTTTCAGATTTCATAATGTGCTTCGATCTGCATCACAAAACATAATGTTATGATTTTTACTTCCTCCCAATTATGTACATCAATTCTTGTTTGAAAACATTCACAGTATATCTGGAAAGCTTTCAGTGGCTGGCTGGGGAGGAAAATCAGGAGAACATAAACATCACCATCACCATCACCATATTGGGACAGCTGTGGCTCGTGGGTAGAGCAGTCGTCCGCTAACCAGAATGTCGGCGGTTTAATCCCCGGCTTCCCCAAGGCTGCATGTTGAAGTGTCCTTGGGCAAGACACTGAACCCCAACTTGCTATGCAACTTGCTTGTTATTTCCTTGCTGATGTGCAGTTGACTTAGGCTCCCAGCCATCAATCAAAAGACTAGAAAGGCGCTATAGCATTTACATTTATTATTTAACAGTATAAACATTCTTGCCATTTTGGCCAGTTTGAATTAAATAAATGCCGCCTGTTCCCATTAGCTGTAACTAACTTGACGTGTACATCTATGTGGCACAACTTTCTTTTGTTTGTTTTTTTGCTGAATTCATTTCAGAGTCTATTTAAAATCAATCAGCTATGTTTGTTTTTGGTGGCTCTAATCATTCCTCCTGGCTGAAAAATCTTTCTCTCCTCACATATTAACTTAGGAAAGTATCCACAGTCCTCTTGAGCTAGAATTTCAAGTTAGTCATATCAAAGTATTTTTTTAGCTTCTATCCCTCCACTCAGAAAGGAAACAGGTCCAGGTTTGTTGTAAAATTTCAAATATATTAAGACTCTCCTGCCTGCCTGTTTGATGAACAACCTGTTGATGTTTAACATGAGTTGCAGCTGGTCCAAAGGAGCAATCCAGTTATCTGGACTGATATATTCTTAAGTACGTCGTAGGTACTGTATGCTGCTTCATGTGTTTTAGGATTGTTTTTCTGAATTTTTCTCCCAGTGATTGCAAGTTTGTCTCACTCATTGGAGCATTACCACTAGTATTTGTTGGACTTTGATGTGACAGTTTACTTTCAAGTCACTTTCTTCTGTTCTACTGTATTATATACAGTACAGTACATGGGCACAGCTTATTCATTGGTTATGCTATTTCAGCTTTACTCTAGGACATTGGCTTTGACATGAATCAGTGACTGAGATTAAAGAGCTGAGTTTAAGCTTAAAATGCACAATCTATGATCCAAACATACACAGTTGAATTATCCTACCACCAAAATTAAACAGACAGGACTGGCAGATACTGACAAATACTAAAATTAGGAGCCAGTCCAAAACCACACTGAAATGCATTTGATAGTATGTGTTACACAGCTTCATGTTTAATACTGTTGTTTTGTGTTTTCTCATGTTTAATACAAGTTTAATACTGGTGTACACATTCAATGAGTAGCAACAACAACATCATCAGTAACAACTCACCTGACATGGGAAACGCTGTAATGCTATTATATATATAATAATGAAATGTATGGGGCTGATTGTTCTTATGTTGTATATATGATGCTTTGGCAATGTTGTTGTTACATTCATACCAATAAAGCTAATTTGAATTGTAATGAGAGTATCATCTGGGCGAAAAGTGAACTCCTCGCAGTTTTTCAGGCTCTGTGGAGGGTGCAGACCTGAAGGCACATAGACCCCCTTGTACCGCGTGTGCAACTCTGCCTCAGTCATAGTTCAAAGCAATGAGCAGAATTCCAGCAGCTCGAGTTAATCAGACAGTATCAGCTCTTTACTGTACTGTGAATCTGCTATAAAGTCTGGTGTCTTCCAGTCGCTTTCTTTCTTGCCCTGCAGAAATAGATTCAGTAACAGAAAGGAATACAACATATGGCATGTAGATGTTTGTAGACTGTAACCATGCATGCCGCAGTTTCTAAAAAGAAAGCGTATGGGTTGCTTCTCTTTTAAATTCAGTTGTGATTGTAAGCATTGTGGAAAACAAATGGGTGTAATATGTAAGCCAAATCTTATAAATATATGTGTGGTAGTCGTCGTTGTAAAAATCAGTTATCCCTCACTCCGTCTTAATGCATGTCTGGTTATATATACCACATATAAACCAAAATCCATTTGTTTTTCTGATGATTTCTGCTGATTGAGAATAGATATAATGTCAGACAGACAGCTGTACAAAGGGAAACAAATGGGGAACAGTTAAAATATGTACATGTTAGGTGAAACGTGCAGGTACACTGAATAATATCTGTGTAATGTTCTCATTAACAAGAACAAAACATCTCTTCATTGTTAAATTTCTGTGGTCACCAGTAACAATAGGCAATATTTGAGATGAGAAGTCACTCTGCGGTGAAATAGGAACTGAAATTGTCACTTTTTTTAACTCACACACTGACAAGCCCAGAGCGCTGGTTCATTTGAATCAAGCCAAAGGCACAAAAAAAAAACAACTCCCCAGGTTCCAGACTCTGAATCACTGCCCTCTGATTTATTCAGTGATTCAAAGATGATCCATAATCAGTTCATCAAATATTAAAATGGGGAAAAAGGGCAGTTCAGTAAGCAGGCTACACAAACATGTTCTAAACAAGGAGAGACCAGGATATGGTCTGAGAGATTAGTTTGGTTTCAATCTTGTTATTGCAGTGATTGTTAGATAAGGCTAAGTGAATAACAAACATGACCAACAGAAACATTATCATTGACATTATAATTACATGCACACATTAAGATGAGATTCATTCAACAGCTGAACAGCTAGCTATCTCTTATTTTCCTTTGGCTGCTTATCTGCTATGAAACTTTTTCTATTCTTGCCCCCTCGTCTCATGATCCTCTCTTTTTTGGGGTTTCCCTTGGGTTTATTCTGGGTCCCCTCTCAGTTTTTACGGTATACTTGCTACCCCTGGGGAAAACCATGCATGATATGTGGATGAAACACAATTGATTGGCCCTTTAAAGCCTGGTACCCTCCTAAAAATAAAGCATGCCTTTCACACTCCACCTACCTCCCATTATACATCTGCTGGTCTCACACGCCACATAGTGGCTGTGGCACTGAATATACAATATACACAGACTAAAGGTAATTTAGTGATTTGTGATACAAGGATTGTGATATAAATGTAAAAAGTACGCATAGACCATGTCCTGGTGTCTTCTAGTTCAGATTTATGTTTCTCTGATACAGTGAACACGTCACGATGATTTGATTCACTGGTTACCGATTGTATTTCAATCACTGACCAATCAGAGATGTGGGCAGTGATTCATGGCCTGGATCCTGGCTAGGTTTATGTGTCTTTGGCCTGATGCATGAAGAGTTTAGAAAGTTATGCCACCAGATGTAATCAGACAAATTCTGCTTTGGTTAGGGTTAGTTTGATTACTGTTTCAGGATTAGGTCAAGTACTTCAATGAAAGAGATATTCTTTTAAATGCAAGTAGCCCCAAACAAAGTGGACCTTCCTTTATAGTGCTCAGAAATAATGGAGTTGACTAACTGTCAGTCAGAGATCCACCTATGCTTTGTTAAATTTAGTCAGAAAGGTACTGGTGACACGATCACTACAGATATGTGAAAGGTTACTCTCTCAGTTTGTGTCACCTAAAACAAAAACAAGTATGATACAGACAACACTCATGTGCAGAGCCATGGTGAGGTGGAATTCATTGCCAGTGAATATTGTTCAAGAGGATACTAACAGCATCTCATCATCTCTGAGCTGCCAATGTGCTCTGACCTCGTTATGTGTTTAATAGTGCTACCTTATGAGCAAAACATTTTAATCAATGTAAAACGTGCGTGCCCTTGAGGCCCTTAAGATTTTTCTTATTAAACTTTTCTCCCAGGATAAAGTGGTTAGTCAAAAATATGACTTCTATTTACTAGAGTGACATTTCAGTGGTGTGTAGCCTACATCTAAAATTGCTTGATGTTACTGATAACGAAAGACATTAAACAAGGAGGAAATGTTTGGACAAATATTATTTGGCCTGTTGTCACTGAGCATGTAAGACAAGTTTCCCCGTTTTGTTTCCCTTTAAGCTGTAGGGTTAAAATCAACCTCTTCCACCCCCATAGAATTCTGCATCAGCCTGATCCAAGTCTTCCAAGGTCACTGCTGAGAACAAAGGATTTGGTTTGAAGGCATACATAGAACAGTGGCATTCAGTATCACCAGACATACTGAGGGATAATTTAGAAATTAGACGACCACACTGCAGCTACGCCAGATTCAACTGGCTTCATGCGTGACTCAATAACAAAAATATGTGTGCACAGGGATCTACACGCCCAATCCCTACACTGTAAAAATTATCAAGGTAGTTTAACTTAAAAACTTAAGTTCAATTGCTGCCTTAAAAATGTGAACTTTAAGAAAAGCTTTATTTTTACTCATGGTGTTACCTGACACAAGTTGTTTAATTAATGATCATTTATTGTTTCAACTTGAGTTAAAACAACCATCTGTATTACATTGTCTAGTCAATAAAACTTACTCTTTTTTGTCAAACATGCAAGTCTATACCCTTTCAACTCACATTTTTAAGCTAAGATAATTGACTATATTCATACCAATTGCCTTTTGAAGTTAGGTTAACTCATGTTTTTAAGGCAGCAATTGAACTGAATTTCAAATTAAGTAGACTTGTGTTTTTAATTTCCATCCCCTATCTCAACTAATAATGGCAAGTTCACCAGTTTCTTAAGAGTACAATGAATTAACTTACAATTCATGTATTCAAAAGTAATTTATTGTAAGTACCTCAACTCACAGACTTCGTCTCCTTCAGATACACTTGTAATTGATGCAACAAGCCTAAAAGCCAATGAAAACATTTATCTCAGACGACACAAGTGCCAAAGTGAGACCATATTTATGATAATTTAACATGTTCTAACAGTATTTAAACACAGTCACCTATAAAGAGCAAGGTCAACCCAACCAACTCTTATACCAATCAGTTCATTTAAATGAGATGATATAAACATTGAGACCATTTGCCTGCAACTGCATTTAACAATCAAAAAACGTAATAAAGAAAAACATCTGTCTGAGGAGAGAACAGTTGAGACCATCAGCTGTAATCAGTAAAATGCTTGTGATTTCTACAACATGGTGACTAATGAGTAGTAATAATATTAACACAAAACTCAAATGTCCAAGTCCATTACAGTCTTGTTCCATTGAAGATAAAGAACTTTGAGGCTGGTTTGTGTTTTCTTAAGTACTCCACTTCTAACGTCACAAGACTTCGAAACAGTCGAGACTATCAGCTCTCACAATCCGTCCAATAAAGAAGTGGGGAAGATCAGTGTTTTGTCCCCTCTATCATTCTCAAAATTAACAGTTTTAAATTGCGAGACACTGCTGTTTTTTTCCACAGTACAGAACAGTGCTGAAAGTGCATATAAAAAAAGAACAATGAAGTCTTGACAGGAACCATTTCCACATGAGAATCTTGAGAAAATGAGGAGCAGGTGTTACAGTCTGTACCTCAGGATTCTGTTTCTTAGTCCATGTTCTCGGGCAGATGCTTGATCTGGTTTTATCTTCATCACAACTCTCTAAAGAAACTCAAAGGAATACTTCATGGCTTCTGGGTACTCGAGATTGACACAGTAGATGACACCCATGAGCATGGCAAAGCTGCATGCCACATCTTTAATGTTGTGAAGCACAATGGTCTCTTCAACCACAACAGCTATCTCGAAGACCTCCCGTGGAAAGGCATCCCGTTCAGCACCTTCATAGCCTATCAGCAGGCCAAGTTGCATCCCCTTCATGGCTTCATCCAGAGTCTCCGTGTGAGCCTTAAAAAGCAGAGACCGTGTGTGACCGTGTGTGTTTAAGTCTGCAATTATATAGGCTTTAGAAGGCCATTTTAAAATACAATCGTAATCCTCAAATATAGAGCAGGAAAGTCACGCCCTTTAGGTGTTCCTCAAATAGACTGAACCTGATCAGTAACACCAACTATCAATTCATTTTCAGAATTTCAACCCTTGGAAGTGAGCCTGAAATTGTAAGTTCAGACACTGAAGCACTTTAGCAAATGTTTTTAAATTGTTCTCTAAAAGATGAGTGACCGGAACAGCCATATATAAGAAAAAAAAAGTGTAAATTACACATTATAAACCACATAAACTTGAAATCTGAAAGTAAATTTTGAATGAATTGAATGAGTTTTCATGACAATTAGACAGGCAACGTTAATAAGTCTGGGTTGGGATATGAAGTATTTTTCTTTCTTGAAAATCTACCCTGGGAAAAGAAAAAGTCCCACAATAAAAGAATCACCCATATACACACTAACAGTTTTGCGTTACAGAAATCATAATGGTCTTACGTCACACGACAGTTGATGGATCTTCGCCTGATATGTAGTGTGGCAGACCAAGCAAGGTAGCAGTCCTTCTCTCATTTGTATCCTACAAGAAAAAGAAACATGCAGTAAGATGAAAATGTTTTACCAAGATAATACATTTTGCCTAATTTTATGATGTGCTCTCCACTTACATCTTTCTGAAGGCAGTCCAAAATGTCTGAGTGATTGCTTCTTTCCAGTCTTGATTGCTGCTTTGTACACCTCTAGCAGTCTTGGGACCAGGCCATCAAGTCCGTTGAGAAAAGATTCCAGAAGGTCTTTGATGACGATTCTCTTGAACTCCGCCCTGATCTGAGAAAAGACAGATAGAAAATATAAGTCAAACATAATTATGAACAAGACATAGTATACAGTATCAGACAAAACATGCTTCTGTCTCTCATGGAACAGAGCTGGCCATCTGGAAATGACTTCTGTGATGAGTGGCTGATCTCCAATTATCTCTTTTCTGCGCTGGGAAAACGTAGCAACCATCAGGTCTTCTACCAGCTGGGGATCAGGGTCTCTCTTCAGCTCAGGGCATCCTGCTGCACTTAACTTGTGCCGATAGTTTCCAAGCTTAAATTTCAGGCTGTGAAACCACGAGTACCATCCCTTTTTCAACCCTGGCTCCTTCAGACTAGGATGCTTCTCCACAAGTGCTTTGGCTACATTCTCATAGTGATGCCTCTCAGGATAAGCACTAATCTTTGACATACTGTCGGCCAGTGTATCAAGGATATCGGTCTTCAAACCTTTAGGAATCACCATTACAGATCAGTCATTAGCATACCTGCAATTGGCTTCTTTCAGCTGCAGCTCCACATCATGTGAGAACTGTGGAATCGGGAAGGGGTCAGGCCATTCAACAGAATCTCCACTACTAAGAGAAGGGAAGCTGCAAGTGTCCAGTGTAGAATGAAGAGAAAATGAGAAGAAGAGACGTCATCAGCTGTTTCACAGTTGCCCGCCCCACAGGAAGGTCTTTGATGTCTGTTAGGTTGCACAACTGATTATTGAAATCAGGATCCTCAAATTGCAAAATGAATCCACCTCTCAGACCAAGCTTTGTTCGCAACACCTGATACAGCTCCTCAACACTGGATGGGATGTCTTCAAATGAAAGACGTCTGATTTCATTTTCTGATATGATGACACGCAGCAGCATTGTAGACTACTTTTACCTGAAAAGAGATAAAAATACATCGTCAAGTATAAATGTTTACTATAACCTCTTCATATCAGTCCCCGTCACACACACATCTATCCTTAAAAAATTATTCCCACATTTTTTAAGTATCAGTGAACAGAACATGGAATCTGATATTTTCTATTCTGAGTTTGGCCAGTTCCATATTTGGTCTTAAATCTGATACTGGCACGATTTTTCGCAATGCAACCTCAGTCTAAACTGTCAATCTGAAGTCAAAGAGATGGGTCACCTGAACTGAAACTGTTGCCTTGAGGCACTAACAGTTGTAGTTAAAAGTAGCTTTCAATATGCAGACATTTTCAGTGCAATTTGTTTCTACAAAGCCATTCAGGTCACAATCTCATCACTGTGGTTACAACTCCAAATCTGCACACTATGTAGTAGCAAAAGTCCTTTTAGGCAAGTCCTGCCACTCGGCCGCCATCTTGGTAACTGCTCTGGGGAGCTATTTCGACTAACAAGACCAGGCTCCTACGATTGGCTGAAATAGGTTTCCGCTTTGGTTGTTAAAAGCAGACGATTGGCTTTCTAGCGGGAGGGGCGGGATAACCGCCATCGTTGCCATTATGGGCTTTCCCCATAGAGCTGTATTGAGGATTTGTGGCATGTCTCCTATAAACTGTCTCTGGTAGTAGCCATTGTTCGACAACAAGCCACAACTAAAAATATGGCTCTCTTTATCCTTTTATTAGTTTTATTATGCGCTCACAAATGATCTTGCTCAACTGCAGATCCTCGTAAAAAGGAAACTTTCGAAACTGAATTCAATGGGCTCCATGTTTAATTATGTAAAATTAGTAAGCTGTGTGTGATATTTGTGTTATTGGTCTTTTGCACGTGTGGGTTGTAGCTAGTTTGTACTAAAAGGTGTAAATTCAATTATGTTTTAGGGCATAGTTGTGTGAAAGTGTATTGAGCTGCATTATATTGAGGTGTTTAATATTTTGCAGTTCCACGCCAAAAAAACAAAACAAACAAACAAAATAACACTACAATTTATATTTTTTCCGATGAAAAATGATCATTCCCTCGAACACAAATTCAATTAGTTGTATCAGTCAAAATTATCACAATTACACATTTTTCAAAATTGCTCAGCCCTAATAACAGTATAATTACTTACAGTGGGTTTATTTCAGCAAGAATGTCTTGGGAGTGACCAAAAGGTAGCCTTGAATGAAGTATGACACCTGTGGCACGTAGTCATTGAGATCCTCTGGTTTCACCAACAGACATGTAGTAGGACTTTTCCTCACAAGATGGTAACTCCGTAGATGCTCCACATAGTACGATGTAAAACACTACTATACCCATAAATCTTGATATGTTCAGTCTTGCACAGTAAAGCTAGGTAGATTGATGAAAGTGATGACTTACATCTTCTTGGCAAATTGGCAAGAGTCCAATACACACCACAGACTTTGTGTTTTTTCCTGGAGGTCCCCAAGGGATTACAAATTTCAAAGTCGTCAATGTACAAGGTTATGCATAAACTAAAATCTTGACCTGAGAGAACTGGATTACTTTTAAAGTAGTCACCATCCAGACATGACCTGTAGTGACCAGACTGTTCAACTGGTTTGTTTACTCTCAATACATGCAGTATTTCTTCTCTTTTGAGTAGATCAGAAAGTAATTTTAGAATAGGGACATAAACAGTATGAGACCTTTGTGTACTCAAAACATATTCAACAGATTCAATGACAGAAAAGTTTTGTCTATAAAATGACTGCCTTTTATATTCTGTGCCTAGAGGTCCCTCTCTTGAAAGCAAAGTGAGTGGGTTTGAACTCTGTAATGCTTCAGTCAACGATGATGTCAATTCCTCAGATGTGCAATTATGCACTGTCAAAATATTTTCAATTGCCTGCCTTGTTATTTGTCCAGCACCTTCACGAATATCAAGTAAGTCATCCACAATTTCTTGAATTGCTGACTTTGACACATGAAGGACTGCTTGCAGCCTAATTAAAAGGAATGCAATCCGCCTATGAATGGACTTTTGTACAGGCTGAAATACAGGTTCTGGCAACAGTAAATCTGGTGACACTAAATCATCCCCTTCATCGTTTACAAATGACTGACGGTCTGAATGACAGTCTCTCGATTTCTCAAATGTCTCTTTAGATGAAGAAAATATTGCTTGATATTGGTTGGAGCTGAAAAAGTACAAAGTTCACAGTGTATTTTAGCAACAGGATTTGATCCTTTTTTGTGCTCCTTTATATGTTTTGCAAAATCCACATGGGATTGGAGGACTGTCAGACAGTTTGGGTAAATGCAGCTCAAGCCCCGTCTTTCACGTCCACGACTGTCTTTGTAGTGACTCACTACTGTTTTACTGCCAAAACATACAGTACATTAACTGAATAAAGTGTTAAAGCCTTAGCCATTTGAACTCAAAACATGACGAAAACAATCTGTACACAATTATACGAAAAAGGTACTCCTATTTAGGAGAGGTTATAACACAACTTCAACACACACTTCTACCACCTTTCACAAACATAGACAAGGCAAATATTGACAATTTCTTGATATTACAAACATTAATTGTGCATTTTCTTTTTAACCTATCATTTGATGCTTTGGCGATTTATTTTTTATGTGATCGATTTTGATTTTTACCTTCACCAAGGAGGTTATGTTTTCATGCCTGACCCTGTCCATCTGTTAGTTTGCAGAACTATGCAAAAACTAATAAACAGATTATCATTTTTAGGGGACTGGTATCTATGCCTGTAAAATCTAGCTAGGCTCCTTACATGCTTGCTAATAACTGTTTAAGCTGGGTCTCCAACACTGATTTGTGCAGCTGTGTTCATGAGGGAAAGGGAGCAAGAATGTGCTGCGCCAATGCAATCAAATTTTAGATTTTAAATAGGCCTAGTAAAAAAAATTAACGATTATCAATATGTGGCAGTCTGCGTTGATATTGTGGCGCCACAAATAAATTACATATGGGAAACACTGATTTAACAACTCGCCACTGCCTGTTAAAACAGATGCGGCAGATCAGAGGCTGCGGTTTTAACGTCACCGCACTCTTTCAAAAAAAGGTCAAAATCAACTAATACAGATATCTTCACCTGCTCAGCTCTCTCTCTGCTCTTCTCACAGCGCGTCTAATTCCACAGTCCTACTTCACAGTGAGATCGTGAAACACACGATGGCGCCAGTAAAGTTTACCTTCCTCCCGCTGTTTTTTTTTTTTTTTTTTTAATTGGCAGGTTAAGCTGGAGCTGAGTATAAAGTCACTAATAAGCGAATAACATTGCAAAAGAAACTCGTCACAGATTAGCTAATAATGTTAAGAATGCCCAAATCCTCTTAATTTTGCTGAAGCAGCTAACATTAAGTTAAGTAGCAACTCACCTGGTCAAGGCTAATTTCTGAAATGCCGACGCTTCTCCACCCACATCGTTGGATCAGGCCATGTCTAATTACTGAAACAACGTTGGTAACGTTACGAGCCACGGCTAATTACTGAAACGTCGACTCCACTCCACACATCGTTGGCACGGGCCAAGTTAATTACTGACACTCTATAAAGCAGCTAACTCAAACATTCAAACAACTACCAAGCGCCATAACTGTCCTTTTTTTGAGGGGTGAATGTCATAAAAGATTCTGCTTGTGTTTCTTCTTAATAAAAGTAAAAAGTGACATTCGGACTAACATTTACGTTAAACACTGTAAAGTTGGGTTCACTGCTCAACACTAACGTTACATGCATTAATAAGCTGCTCTGAACTATCCTGTGTTCAGAAAGTTTCATGACAGCGATTCGTTTCTTCATAACTAACGTTAAGTTAATTGACTCATTGAATTGGGTTACAATTATTATAAATGACAGACTCACCTTGCTTCTCTTGCTCCAATCCGAAAAGACCCGCTTTTCCGCTGCCAAATCTCATCCAGATCTTTCTGGAAAAAACGTATTCATCCGCTGCTTACCTGCTCACCATTGTCAGTAGGCTTAATTTGCGTTCCTCTTCTTCTCTCAATGGGGAATTGCAATTGGGTGGTACGCCTCATTAATGTGTTACAAAAATCAATCAGCATAGATATTAGTCGTATATCAGATCAAGATAAAATATTCAGGACTATTTGCACCGCGCATTAATACTGTCGCCACACCGGGGTCATGGTCACTTTTTAAGAGATCCGGTTACCATATTCCAACTCACACTTATAAATTAAACTGACACATTGAAATTTACATTTCACTGAACTGGCTTACAAACCTGAGTTGAAATAGTGATAACTCATTAAATTAAGTTGAAATTTCATAACTTATTATGTTAAGTGATGGTAAATTATAGAAAGAAGTTTCTATAACTTATTGATCCAATCCTTTTTTACAGTGTATCACATTCCTTACTATTACAAAATCTGTGCCTCCAGGGCAAGAGAGAGAGAGCGAGGGAGGGAGGGAGAGAGAAAGAGACCGGAAGAGAGCAGAGGATCCAATCAGAAAGTCAAGTCGAGGTCCAACAGCTCAGTTGGAAGTTGGAGCTGCTGGAATTCTGCTCATTGCTTTGAACTATGACTGAGGCAGAGTTGTACACGCGGTACAAGGGGGTCTATGTGCCTTCAGGTCTGCACCCTCCACAGAGCCTGAAATACTACGAGGAGTTCACTTTTCGCCCAGATGATACTCTCATCGCGACGTATCCCAAGTCAGGTGAGTCCTTGTTCTACGTGCGCACCAGTATTGAACATACAAACATCTTGAATAGGGAGGGGTCTCACACACAGTCTTGATGTTAAAGAATATTAAAGATACCACCCGGGGCCGTCCAAACGGCGCTGGACGTGCGCGGTGATTTCCCTCTTAACTTTAGTAGGCGTGCCTTTTTTCCCCTTTTTTTTTTTAAAGAAATGCAATTGCGTAATTTGAACACAAGCTCTGTTGCCCCCTTTATATCCACGGTTTAGACTATACGCCTATCTGATGGTTTTTTTTGTCCCAACAACCTACACTTTCACTTTCACTTTCATTGATTTAAAAAAAATTATCACATAAGTTGTTTTATTTTGTCCTAAAACCACCTCTATTATAGCAGGGAAAACACATCATGGCAGCTGATAATGTTACTGTCATACTTTCCCCCTGTGTTCAATAAGAAAGGAAGCTCACACGTGTCACATTCTTATTGCAGACTTGTGGAAGTGCTGTGGTTTTCAGCCTGCCTAGTCATTAGTGTAATTTTACATTTAAGAGAACCTCTTATGTCCGTTGTTTAGGTACGACCTGGCTGCAGGAGATTGTTCCTCTGATCATGAGTGGAGGAGATCCAGCTTCCGTTGAGACTCTTCATAACTGGGACCGCGTTCCCTGGCTGGAGGAGAGCCGGGCCTGCATCCTCAACCTTGAAGCGAGACCGTCACCCCGTATTTTTACGACACACTTCCACTACAACATGATGCCACCATCCTTCTTTGAAGTAAAGCCAAAGGTAAATCTGCCATATAGTCTAAAGGAATCATGTCTTCAAACAAACAGTATATTTCGAAGACCGAAAAGGGTTGAATGATTAATGGATGTCATGTCATCACTGCAGGTCATCTACGTCATGAGGAACCCCAAAGATGTGTTTACATCCTCCTTTCACTATTATGGGATAACAAACTTCCTGGTACACCCCGGCCCACAGAGCGACTTCCTCCACAAGTTCCTTGATGGAGACGGTATATCTAATGTTTACACCTATGCAGTATACAGTATTTATTCCTAATACAAAACACATCACAGAAAGTGACAGGAACCCTCAACTGAACTGTATTTTATGAAACAGCTGTGGTCACACAGCTGGACAGACCATGAGGTTTAATGCAAAGAATTAACCTTATTAACCTTACTTACATTATATGTAAAGTTATAATGTATGATAAAGGAAACTGTGTTTTGCTTCTAGTTATTTTTGGCTCTTGGTTTGACCATGTGAAGAGTTGGCTGAATGCTGAAGATAAAGAGCGCATACTGTACATCTCCTATGAAGAGCTGATAATGGTGAGACCTCCTAAAATCGCTTTTTCCAAACAATTCTGACCTGACAAGAATACACAGTCACACTGTGAGAATCACTGTATGTATGAGATAGTCTGTGTTTCTCTCTTGTGCAGGACCTGAAGGACTCTGTGGCCAGAATCGCTCAGTTCTTGGAGAAATCACTGGACACTGAGGTGATAGAGAAGATAGCAGACCGGTGTTTGTTCAAGAACATGAAGCAGAACAAAATGTCAAACTACTCCGCAGTTCCTTCTGAATTCATGGACCAGACAAAGTCAGAATTTCTCAGGAAAGGTCAGTTTACAACAATAACACAGTACACGTTAAATTCCACTGTTACTGGATGCAATCTATAGAGCCAAACGACATTTACTGGGAATGACCGCCTATAGAATATTACTGTACACACACTATACAGTGTAACACATTACTATATTTCTAGTGAGCAAAGTCATCATTTAAAATTGGGCCAGCTTTCCTTCAAATGTAATCTGATTCCTCTTTTTGCGTGCTGTGTTTCAGGAATTGCCGGAGACTGGAAAAACCAACTAACAGCGGCAGAAGCACAGCACTTTGATGCTGTTTACAAAGACAGAATGAAAGATGTCAAATATAAGTTTGCATGGGATTAAAATAAATTCACTGAAAATTCTTAATGGAAATCATCCCACCATACTGTGATGTAGTGTTGTAGTACTCGAGACCGGTCTTGGTCTTAAGACCACATATTGATGGTCTTGTCTCAGTCTCGGACATTGAGGACTCGGGATTTTATTTCAAGACCATAACTTTGGGAATATCAATAAATTGCTTTTGACTATCTGATATGTTAACAACCTAACTTTGATTGGAAGTAAAACAAATTGCTTCAAATGCAACCAATAACCCTAATTAACGACGTCACCCCTCCCTGCGATGCTTACGTTGATTTCAGCTCTTAGTGTTTGTATGTGGGTGTTTTAATGGGAATGTGGATCTTTCAGATCAATTTGTGAAGTACCTATGATCTCGTTCCACATTGTATTGCATGCCATGCAATGCCCTCCCTCGGTCTTGGTCTTGGATCAGTCTCAGCCCCTAAAAGTCTCGTATTGGTCTCGATAAACTCTGGCCTTGGTCTTGACTACAACACTACTGTGATGCACAGAAACCTCTGAAGATGCAGTTGATTTACTTCAATTTAAAGGCCATAATGATCTTATTATCAATAACTATAACAGTAACTGGTATACATATATATATATATACCAGACGTTGTGTATCACATACTCACGAGTACAGAAAGAGCATACTAACACATGTTAATAAATAAACAAATAAATAAACAGTTGACCTTTTTACTCTTCCTGAAACAACATTCCCGAAAGGGTCATTCTTTGTTACACCATGAACACATTCATCTAGCTGAGCTTGGAAGTTTATGTTTTAATCAACTACTCTGTTATATGTTGAAAAAAACCCAGGATTTATAAGCATCCTGATTTTTCTTTTTTTTCCTGTCGACCCAACAACCTACAGAACCTCTTACATTATGTTAAGTATTTTTTATTTGCAGTCCAGTGGAGAGTGCTGTCAGTCAGTTTTATTTAAATAGGGTGTGTGCGCTACACCTATTACATACAGTATAAAACCCTGAAAGCACATTTTAAACATAACAGAACCTGTATTATGCATGTACGATAAATAACCTGATAACTTAATAAATGTTATAACTCTGCACTGAAATGATTGGACTGTTTTAGTTAAGTTCGTCAAAGTGTCATCCCAACAGTCCCGTGTTTCACAGTTTAAAAGGCCAAAAGAAGCAGCAAGGGAAGCCCCTCAAAAGAAATTAGTTAATTAACACAAGACAATCTCTATTTGTAGTTTGTTTTCAAAAAGCTATTCCCTATGGTTCCTTAATAGAGGACGTAGCAGCATTGTTGGCCATTTGTTCAAATGGTTAATTTGCTCAAAGTTAATTTGAATTCCAAAGTAAGCACGCTTTCCGATGAAAATGGAAATTCAATTTTCAACAAACATCAAATTGTACTATCCATATTGAGAACAGGGATGGACAAGAGCAGGACCCATATCTCTGGCTTCCCAACGAACTGAAGTCCAGTTTCAGCTCTGTGTTGGTCTCAACCGGCTCCTCAGAAAAATATATCTGGTTCGATCTCTGATGTCTCACAATCAAATTAAGTTTACTTACTTGCCTTATAAATTGAAATTTGGCAATTTATAGTTCCCAGATTGTTACACCGTTATCCCTTAACTTCACATCATGTTCCCTTGTAACGGCCCATGCTGTACTGGTACTCTATTAGTATAAAAAAAAGGCAATATAAATTGGGAAGAATAAAGCGTTACCCAGATACCAACTACTCGACAAGCAGAACAAAGCCAAATTAAAATTGTTCCTTTGTATTTTTCAACCATAGTTGGTCAAAAGGAGTACTTTTTACTGTTTGTTTTTGGCTGTGCGCCTTTTGCTTTTAAACAGAAGATAATTTCAGCCTTCAGCTTGAGGGTGAATGTTTCATCAACAGTGTAAGAAATAACAGCTAAACTGATCTCAAATGTAGCCTACAGCCCCAGTTGCACCTGTTGTCACAGGACTATAATTTCAGAATGACATGTGCACAAGGGCATCAATTTGTGTTAAAAAGTGGTGGGACATAACGGCTCAGATTAGAGGTGTGATGATACACTTGGATCAAGAGATGCGACGAAGCGCGAGAAGATTTTTAACACCATTTTGAAGAAATAGTAAATGCTGAAATAAATGAGCGGGGGTTCTGGGTGTCCTCCCCCAGAAAGTTGTAGCATTAAACACTTCATTTCCTTCAGTCTGACATTCTGTTCCAGTTTATGGTGGAAATGTCTTTATATAAGAGGGAAACAAAATTCAGCTGGCAGGCAGCATTTTCATAAATATAACGCAGTACTTACCAGCTTTATTTTAGCTCAAGTCACTTTTTTGGGACAGTGCACATTTGTTTTGTCTACAGACAACATAATGGGTGCTAGTAGGCTACTACGCATGTGACAATGATTTGATATTAGCAGCTTTTGGCTTTGCTCAGGTCGCAGTTATTTGTGACGTGTGTGGATCGGCGTTGACATTTGGACTGAGCATCCACCCCCCCCACACCTTAACTAATCATTTCATCTGGTAAAGACCTGTGGCCATACGGTCATTTCTTCTGCGTTTGTCTCGCTCTCTTCTCCCTTGAGAAGCAGCTGTCAGAAACTAAACCTTGCAGGTGCAGTAATGTCACAGCAAGCAACATGTGTGATAGAGAAGCAATAGGCAGACTGGAAACTCGCCAGCTCAGTCAGTTAGCGTCCAAAATACAAGCTGATCAACATGAGCTAATCAGACAAGGATTTAACGGCACCTGCCATATTAGTAGTCTTCTGAAACTTTGTGGTTAGTATCCTGGCAGCAGCAACCCTTTGAGCTGAATTTATGCAATTGGCTAAATTCAGAAAGCTCTCCTGGTTTAAACAGGGATTTGTTGGAAACCATAGGCTGTTGTCAGTGAGCCTTTTCATTAAATCTCTGAAAAATAAGGAAACAAAAATCAAGTTCATAGTTTTATTTAAAGCAGAGGCAAAAAGCAAAACCTTGGATGCAAGTGAACTCCTGCATGGTTCCTAGTCCCATACTTTTATGGCTTCTTGATGAGAGGCCACCAGATGCCCTTTTTGGCCCAGCTTGGCAGAGTCGCCGGCTCCGCAGTGGGCCCGCCCGGCGTGGTCGTCGCCGGCTCCACAGTGGGCCCGCCCGGCGTGGTCGTCGCCGGCTCCACAGTGGGCCCGCCCGGCGTGGTCGTCGCCGGCTCCACAGTGGGCCCGCCCGGCGTGGTCGTCGCCGGCTCCACAGTGGGCCCGCCCGGCGTGGTCGTCGCCGGCTCCACAGTGGGCCCGCCCGGCGTGGTCGTCGCCGGCTCCACAGTGGGCCCGCCCGGCGTGGTCGTCGCCGGCTCCACAGCGGCCCTGGCTTTATTGCAATATGACAGAATATGCAACTGACTGCATCCATGATGTTCTAGTATGTACATATTTTATTTGCATGACTGATGTAGACAGCCATTCTAGACGTCACATGGTGTGCTCAGATTAACTACATTGAGATTATGAACTAAGGCGCTACACCAACATGCATTTTACCAGTAGGGTTTCGTAGAATCTTCTCCTGTAACATCTCACTGCAACAACTCTGTAGTACAAAGCAGTTACTGTCAGCCTGACGCTCTGAATATATCACAAGTGTTCTTACCTCTTACTCTCCTCTGCAGCCCATCATGTCTTTCATTTGGGCCACCAACTGGCAAACAAGAGCCTATGGACAGTGCACTCACTGTTAATTTATGTTTGTGCCGTTTCAAAACACAGATCAATTTGTCACAGTAACATTTCAGGAATGAACAAACTTTTAGAAGTTACAGCAAGGCATTGGCTTCTCATAGCAAAAACATTTTGGCTCAAACATAACTTTACAACTACCAATTTCTTCAACACATGCTTCAAACAGAAGGAATATAAAAACCTTTAGCAAGAAAAACAGTCAGCACGCAAATAACCAAGACCTGAACAGCTCCCATTGCTTCAGTCACCAAGAGGAAATGCTACCTGTGCCACATGTGAGGGTTAAAAAGCCCATCATGCTGGTGACACAGCTGTTGCTGATCAGCTCTAATTGGCTCTCACCTCAGAGGAGTCAGTGGGCCTGTCTCACTTCATCAGCAACATGTGAACCTGTACAAAGTGCATATAGGGTACGTGGGGACTTTGCTGTTGCTGCTCTAGAAACAACATCTAGTGATATTGAAAAGTCAGCAGGCGTTTCTCATTTCTCAGTGTGTACCTCCTCTCTTGGCCTCGGCTGTGTGCCTTTTGCCTGTGAACAGGAGATCATTTCAGCCCTCAGCTTGATGAGGGTGAACGTTTCATCATCATCAACAGCAAAAGTTGATCTCAATAACTTATAATATAAATTATGAATAAATTATAATAATAACAATAATAACTTTTGTTCAGAGAAGATGACTTTCAGAGATTGTTTACCATAAATATTAATGGTGGCATATGTTGACATCAATTTAAGAATATATCAGTCCAGATAACTGGATTGCTCCTTTGGACCAGCTGCAACTCATGTTAAACATCAACAGGTTGTTCATCAAACAGGCAGGCAGGAGAGTCTTAATATATTTGACATTTTACAACAAACCTGGACCACACAAATGAAATATTATTTTGATCCTTTACAAGTACATCCCTTACCGATGACCTTGCTCTTGTTTCCTTTCTGAGTGGAGGGATAGAAGCTAAAAAAATACTTTGATATGACTAACTTGAAATTCTAGCTCAAGAGGACTGTGGATACTTTCCTAAGTTAATATGTGAGGAGAGAAAGATTTTTCAGCCAGGAGGAATGATTAGAGCCACCAAAAACAAACATAGCTGATTGATTTTAAATAGACTCTGAAATGAATTCAGCAAAAAAAACAACAAAAGAAAGTTGTGCCACATAGATGTGCACGTCAAGTTAGTTACAGCTAATGGGAACAGGCGGCATTTATTTAATTCAAACTGGCCAAAATGGCAAGCATGTTTATACTGTTAAATAATAAATGTAAATGCTATAGCGCCTTTCTAGTCTTTTGATTGATGGCTGGGAGCCTAAGTCAACTGCACATCAGCAAGGAAATAACAAGCAAGTTGCATAGCAAGTTGGGGTTCAGTGTCTTGCCCAAGGACACTTCAACATGCAGCCTTGGTGAAGCCGGGGATTAAACCGCCGACATTCTGGTTAGCGGACGACTGCTCTACCCACGAGCCACAGCTGTCCCAATATGGTGATGGTGATGTTTATGTTCTCCTGATTTTCCTCCCCAGCCAGCCACTGAAAGCTTTCCAGATATACTGTGAATGTTTTCAAACAAGAATTGATGTACATAATTGGGAGGAAGTAAAAATCATAACATGTTTTGTGATGCAGATCGAAGCACATTATGAAATCTGAAAAGGCACATGTTTGGGGTCGCTCTCCTCTGTGACTCCTGAATGTAGCCTCATGCTAATACATGAGGCTACATTCAGGAGTCACATAGGTCTCTGAAAGATAATTAACTGTTTAACCTGGTGTGACTGAATACCTCAGATGCTGTACAGGCACAACCTCATTTACCAGATAAGCAGCCATTATTGGTTTATTTTAATTTGATGCTGTTTCTTATTTAAGTAAAATTGACAAGAGAATGCTCCATTATGAGCAAAGCATTAAAATTTTACTTCAAGATACAATATGTAACATTTACACATTAAAATGTCCAAAAACGAGTGGAGCTATAGGATCAAAACTCTTTAGTTTATATATAAAGAACCTTTCTGAATCATGTTCTGGGGTTGGTCACCAGATCTACGTTGATGATACAGTCATATACACTTATGGAAAAACAGATTACAGTTATAGACCAGTTGTTTTAGCACCTAGAAGCAATAGCTGTTGGCTTGAAAATTCATGTTTGACAGTGGGGAGAGAGAAGTATACATGACATTCCATCAAACTAATTTTGACAGCTACTACCGGTCCCGCCCCCATACCGGATACGTGTATGGAGGAGGTTTTTCCATTGATTTAAAGACTTTATTGAGTAATAAAACTTGAATGAATTAACTAGTAGGTGTTTATGGCAATAAATTTATCATTAAAAAAGTATAGCAGTGAGTTATAAGTAAAGGAAGAATCTCCGGGGCCAGCAAAGGATCAGTAGAAGGTTTCTTTGGAATCAAGTCAGTCTTTATTATTATACAAGTGAAGAATAAATTGAAATAATGACAGTAAATCAGTAAAATGGTATAACGGTGAGTAAAAAGTAAACAGCATTATAAATTACCTTCAACAGCATGCAGCAAAATAAGAGAGAGTTCCAAAATTAAACTTAAGTTAAACTAAAGTAAAATCTTTGCTAAAGCTTTGTGTGACAAATTTACCATCATTAAAGAACTAAAGAATAAATTTAAATAATTACAGTAAAGCAGTAAAATGGTATAACGGTGAGTAAAAAGTAAACAGTATTATAAATTACCTTCAACAGCATGCAGCAAAATAAGAGAGTGTTCCAAATTAATTTGCTAGTGTTTTGTCTTACAAACTTGCCATCATTATCACTCCAAAGCTGTAGCCTAGTCTTAAACTTGTGAGTCTTAAAACTTTAATCCTTCTAGAGTCTGTGTCTCCTCTTCTCTGTCCTCTCTCTTTCTGGTGTAGCATAGGCTGTGCAGGGTGAATTGAGGAATGTGCTCCACCCCCCGCACCTTCCATCCCTCCCCTCCCTCTCTTTTCTCAATGAGCCACATCAAGTTGTGTGTTTAACTGTCATCCTCAGGTAATCTTGTAGACCAGTTATTAACTATGGTTATCTATAACCCAGACTCCGGATGTTAAAAAACGGTCTGGTTTTATCAGACAGAGTTCGTTTTTGAAACAGGAACCTATTTCTATCAGCCGGAGACAAGAGTTTGGAACTACATAATAATCTGGTTGTACCAGAAGTAACGGCCCCAACCCCTCATCAGTTATCTCCCACATGCCGTCACATACAAATAAGGGGGTGGGCAGAGTTTCCGTGAGCCAGTGATAAGAGACTAGGAGGGGTTACCATAGACCAATGATGGGAGTCTGTGAAAATAAAAGGAGTCCATATAGTCATTCAGAAACATAACAAAACTATTCCAAAACAACCTAAACATGAGCAAGAGAGCAGCCAATTCGAAGATGATCAGCCAGACACCTGTAACGGGTTATCAAAACTCAACCCCGGGAGGAGCCCCAAAGAAACGAGTGTTGTATTTGAGTCGGATCCAGACGCCGCCCCCCGATACACTTCATGAGGAATGGAATTTAGATTCAGGACGTGTCTGGGGGTATGCGTTCAATTATGATGTAAACGAACTTTGTTTTTACCAGTTGGAGAAAGGTGAAACATTTGGACCCCTCACAGCAAAGGCAACGCTCACATCAACGGACTGTGCTGACTCTGTTGGTTTTAAACAATCTCAAAGCCGCGACGTCCGAGGAACCTGCTACAAAAGACAAGCAGACTCAAACAACTGTGAGAATCAAGCAGGAAGTTCCACTCGTGTTTGTTCCTAAAAAAATTGTTTCCTGTAGTGTTTGGGAGACAAAAAGCTCAGCTTCCGGCAGATGGTTCTACTGTGCAAGCCATCAGAAGAGTGAAGGAGATGAAGCCTTGGATGAATTTGTCTTGCAGTATTTCAATACTGAATGTGGCGTGTTTCAGACTTCATTAAGGATACCTGTCGAGGTTTGGATGGAAATGATGTTTGAAAAAGCAGAAAAGCTAAAAGTTCTCTTCAAAAAAAGTCAGACCTGTATACTTCTCTCTCTGTGGGGAAATTGCGGTTTGCAACAGCTAAGACAAGAGCAGAGATAGATAAGTGTACAAAGTAGCATAAACAAGTGTCAGACAAGAAAGTACCGTTCTTACAGTAAATAAAAAACAAAAAACAAAGTTACTGTACATTAAATAAGACTGAAGGACTATGCCTTACAGTCTCCTGCGGCATAAATAAATACTGGTAGTATAAAAGTGTTGTAGAAGGGCAATGCACATAAGTCAGATATAGCAAACTGTATTATACAATAATTGCACATTAGTAAAATGCATATTAGTAAAATTGCACAAATGAAAATTATGCACAGATGTAATAATGGCACATGGGATATATTGCACAGAGTCAACGGTGTTCATTGTACAGTCTGATGGCCGCTGGAAGGAAAGATCTGCGGTATCTGTCCTTCTGACTGACAGGGTGTAGTGCAGGGGGTGTGACTCATGGTCCATCATAGCTGTCAGTTTAGCCAGGACCCTTCTGTCTCCCACCTCCCTCACTGAGTCCATAGGACAGCCCAGGACAGAGCTGGATTTCTTTATCACCTTGTCCAACTTTTCTGTCCCTCTCAGTGATGCTGCTGCTCCAGCAGACCACAGTGTAGAGGATGGCTGATGCGACCACAGAGTCATAAAAAGTCTTTAGGAGGGGGCCTGTCACTCCAAAGGACCTCAAGGAAGTACAGCCTGCTCTGACCCCTCTTGTATAGAGCATCTGTGTTGTGCCGTGTCTGAGTGTGAAGATGAAGGGGGCCAGGACAGTCCCCTGGGGGGGCACTACACATGAGACGGTCAGACACACCGTCACGTGCTCTCACAAACTGTGGCCGGTTCGTGAGATAGTTGAACTGTGTCAGTCTTAACACATTTAGATTAATCAGAGACTTTTGAGAAGAAGTAGCTGCCATAAAATGGGCCTCATCTTTCTTCAACACTTGGTATAGTCAGACAGAGATGTCAACAAGTAACAGCATATCACACATACATGTTATGTGGCAAATTAAAACGGAGCAGACTGATGACTCATGTATTCAAACACACAGTATGTTTTGTAGACGGAACAGGGTTGAGTGTTCAAAGTTCCATGAATGAATAATAGTTATCACGTCATCACTGCAGGTCATCTATGTCATGAGGAACCCCAAAGATGTGTTTTTAATATAGTATAATCATTCGCAAAATGTGCTTGTGTATAAAGAAAAAAAAGGGGGTGGGGTTATATAACAAGCACTTGGTTTAC